CCGTGTACGCCCCATTGGATGTGGGTGACGGATGATGTTACGGGGGCGCGATTGCGCACGACATGTTTCTGATGCACTGCGACGCCCATTCAACAGCCGACGTTTCTTCAATGGACGTCATGAGCGGGGAGCAATAAGGCAACTTGACATGGGCAGTCCACTATCCGACCCACAGGGTAACATCAACGCATTGTCACTCGACATTGATCATGGCTGGAGATGTAGGTAGCTGGCTTTTCCGCACATGCTCACTATTTGGCATTCTTGACCCCTGAGAGGAAAGCCGAGGGAATCAGGTCGAGTTCTCTAGACGGTGGCTCAAAGTATTTGCGCAACGGCTAGCTACATTGTGAGAAAAGGGTACTCGCATACCTCGCATGTTTGCTTTTCAGTTAGCCTCGGCACCTCAATCCCTGAGATCACGAGATCAAGATGAGGACGAACAACAGATGAGGTGACAGGGTTCTGCGTCTTTACCCGGCACGACCGGTGAGGGAGCCAAGGCACGCTTCCAGCACCGGTGAGTGCGTACTCCGCATCTTGACCCGTGGACAAGCGTGCGGGGGGGCCCTCTTCGAATCATGACCTGCATCCACGTGCTCGTCAGACTTAGGATGCTCCCCATTCGGAATGAAGCTTCCAGTCTACTGTGGAGGGAACATGAAGGCCTGCGTCTGACCTTGTGCAGAATCTTGCAGGGGGCTCCTGGCGGGCTTGGTCTGGCCTGAGCGACCGGGGATTTGTAGGTTTGTTGACTGGATGTGAAGTGCGCCGAGAGAGGCGAGAGGACAGTGCGGCATGTCCTGTCTGTGTTCGAGCGTTCACTCATCAAAATCATCTCTCTTCACCGGTCATGCGTGCTACTGACTAGCATTGGTCGGCGTCCGTGTGGGGGACACAATTGGAGCGAAACGTCTTCTGCATCGCATTATTTGCGTTCAGGATCAATCTACCCGCTTTTCAGCTGTCACTTATCTTCTTGAGAATCAGGCACTTATCTTTCGAGCACTGGTGCATCTGCTTCCATCACCCCTGGCTCGGGTGAGCACCATCACACAGTCTGTCATTTATGACAGCTTTCGACAGATCTGGGTGATCGCTCGACTACCGTCGTACCGGGAGGGCAGGGCGCGTAAGCCTACTGGCGGCCACACCTCCGCTGGATCTCCGCTCGGAAGCTGGCTGACGGGCATCATTATCTGCCTTGTCAGCTCATCAGTCAATCTAATCATTTGTACATTTGTTGGGTGGGCGATATGCCGGTTTGGACGTAGGTCGCTTCGAGCGACTACCGAATGGGAGGAGACGGCCCTCAAGGTCACATTCAACTATTCTTTTACGGTAACGAGATAGGAGGCACCGAGACGTTGCCTGCCGGCACGATAACATCCGCCAGTCAAGTCACTGAAACCTACGAATACAGAGTTCGAACACATCGGGATTGACCCCGTTCAAAGTTATCTTTCTCGCATCCTTCCCACTTTTGTATCCTGGTTCGGTTGGTAAGCGCTGGCAATCCTTTGCCAGCGAGATCAACGTCTCAGTACTGCCCACAGGAATGGCCTGATTTTCTTGCTCGGCAGGGCCGTGCAATGGAGATATGGAGAAAGCATCATCTTGACCGAGTCGCCTCAATCCCCACCGAAGTTCCCGGCCAAGGGCCTTTGCCTCACTCGCAGTTCGTCACCATTATGCCAAAGTTTACCTTTCCCCCTCGCTTCCGCCCCCAAAACTCCGACGCTAAAGCTTTCACAGACCCGGTGTGTTGACAGATTGACAGCTTCACCGGTCGTAGGTTACCGTGCCTGTCCTTGTCCTCTGAGAGCCAACTGCACACAGCCCCGCAGGACATGGTAGAGGGGTTTGCGCGACGTCAGGTTCCGACATGGCCCTGTAGACGTCGGATGCAAGGGATTGAGGCTGGTGGTGTTCAGCATTCATGAGCGACTTCTCGCTAGTAATTCTGGCACACAAGGGCCACTGCGCCGTCAAAATGGTTGGACAACACCTTTGGCATCTTCGGCCGCGAGTCCATCTACATCTCCATACCGCAAATTAAAACTCATGAACGCTCTAGTATTTCTTGTTGATCGAGTTGACTGGCATTCAGCAACCAACTTGGACATGTTTCATGGTCACATTTTGGAACTCCCAAGATATGGAGCTCACCACTGCCGCCCCAACGCTGCTGCAGCGATGCACAAGGGTTTGTTGAATCTGGTTTCGCCAGGGGCCGATGCACACAATAGCTCGGGTTGATGCTTTCACTCGAGCTGGTTGGACGTGAATGATGTGCGTTTTGATGCGCTCTGGCGGATGGGCGATCCAATGGGCTGCCAAAAAGGCCAGGCTTGCTAGGGGGTTTTATTCGTGACTTGAGGGTACATTCATCATAAAGTTTTATTGGGAAAGTGCATTGTCAGCGGCATGTCTAACTCGCCCACGATTCCCTGTCCATCTGCTCGACAGTCTCATACTACGCGGTCGAGCATTGTCCCCCTATTGCGTAAAATACTTGTACATCTAGTTCATACAGGTTCACCCTCCGTGGGTAGCCTTTTTTGGCACGATCGCCGGCAATGAGGCCCTCCGTATCCAGCCTTCGTGGGCTGGCCTAGGTGGGTTCAGGCTTGGGCATCAACAGAGGCTGATCCCTTGAAAGTGCGCCCAACCTCGCACACCCCCGAAGGTTCAGCACGGGGCCTATAATTCCAACTAACCAGCTGGCCCTGTGTTCCTCCAACCGACATAACAAACGACGAAGACTAGCCGGGAAGGAGACCTTGTCATCCTGGATCCATGTAGTCATCGTGTACGGAACGCAACCTGCCGCGGTCCCTTCCATCCCTGCTTCTATACTCGCAGGCGCGTTCGCTCATGTGACTCGCCTACAGGTTCACCGTCGTCGTTTCACTTACGGCGCGACCATAATTCGCAAATTTCTGCCTCGGGTCACGTAGTGACTCGTTAACACCTGACGGTGGTACATAGCCTATGAGGTAGCCTGTGATGACACCAAGCTTGAGGGATATGGCTTGGCGAACGAGGGGTCATCAGGATCCTTGACTACACGGGTCTTTCGTCGCTTGAAATACACTCATCCCTTAGGACGACGAAAGCTTCGCTCCACCTCCATTAGGAAAGCATGGGATTGAAAACAAGCCCCCTTGTTCAACACGGACCCCGGAGTACATCCGTGTGTTGGGCAAGATACATTCGTAAAGCTAGCAGCACGGCGCATTCCCACTGTGTACATGCTCCTCTCATGCCTCGAATGACGAGACACATTTTATCAAGATCCCGCGACGCACCTGGTGGCATGAGCTTGCTTCATCTTGTCCTCAGCAATCAGACCTTACGTCTCGCCGAGATCTCGCGCATGGTGAGCTGCGCGAGGAGTGATGGTCATATTATGGACCTCCCAACACCTCCCTTGGCCTTCTCGAATGCTGGGCAGGGCCAACATAACAAGTGGGCAAGAATGATCATAAAGACAGGTCTAAAACAAACATGCGGGGATTGGGGGGCTCGTGGACATTTCCCGCCAGGTCTGCTTGCGACGTTGTCAGTTCACCGAACAAATGCTGAGGCTTATAAGGATCGTGTTCGGTGCGCAAAGTTTCTTGCCAGAGTAGACGCATGTTAGCTTTGACATTGGAAATAACATGACCCTTCGAAGCCGACTACTCAGATGACCCTTTCCTTGAGACGCCTCTTCAACGTTTTCATTCAGGTTCTACTTGAACAATTCTAGAGTGCGATAAGCGTCTTTACGGATATGCACGGAGGTTACAAGGATAGTAGACACATCGCCACCATGATGCAAGATTGCCGCCGTGGGTAATGATCGAAATCCGCGGACATTCGACCAACATGTCCGATTCGGGGGGAATGCTCCAACCGACAGCGTTCTCTTGGCCTGGTAATGGGGTCGTTGGCTTCGCTTTTCGCTGCTCGAATCGATCACCAGTCTCTGATCACTCGAGGGTGGGCCTGGCGATGACGCAAATCAAACCACCCGTCTGTTGCATCACCACGAGTCCGTGACGGGAGCTCGAGCAAACGACATGTCGCATGTCAGATCCTTCGGCGATTGGTAAACATTCTTGTTAGATTCTGGGTCTTTGACCATTTGTATTTCAGTATGCACACGTACTACTCGGTCCTTGGCTTAGAAGACTACTCCAGTTCAATGTGACATGCGATTGGTATAGCGCTCGTCTCTAGACATGTCTTTGATATTTTCCCCCTGGACTCTGCTGTTGCTTCTTGCGTTGCGGTTCTCCGCCAGCCACAAACCCAGATGAGTTGAGGTCTGCGTATCTTTTTATTCAGACCTGACCTCAATGCATCTTTGCATGTGTCACTTTTGCATGATCGCCGCCTGCCACAATACTGCCATCCGGGAGGACGACCTCGGTGAGTCTAACTTGTGCCAAGACCATGGGATATATCATGTCGCAAGTCAAACATGTGGCCATGAGAAACACAGCCACGGGGTTGATGAAGAAGCTATGAGCTTCTGGCCAGAAGCACCAAAGTAGTGCCGATGGTCCTATCCAACCCAAGAACGTGCCCAGTGACCTGGTAAACCTGTGATGTGTCGTCAGCCTTATGGGCTTTAAAGCAAGATATTGAACATCCATGAGCATATTAGAGCCCACCAAGCTGGGCCGAGACGATACGACCACGTGCACAATGAGTGCCATGCTCTTCTAAGCCACTCAGTGAGTCTTGGCCGCTGAATACTCCCGTGCAGGAGTCCAAACAAGGCATCCGCAGGGTTATCGAGTGCAGGTTGAGATGACCATCTCCTCAGTGTATATCTGAATTGCTGGGCAGCGGGACCGGTCTCATCTACCAGGAAGTCCGATCATCGCCCATGATGTGAACAGCAATGGTGGGTCACCCAGCAGACACGCCACCCACCTCGCGCGAGTAAAACATCGATGTCGATAGCGAGAATGGAAGGTGGCACTAGGGGCAGAGGAAGTCGAAACTCACCAGATTGCATAGCTAGTGCCTCCGGAGTGGCCCCTCTCGAAAAGCATGGCGAGACATCCTGCGCTCACTGACAGCTGCGCGATGCCAGCTGTCCAGAACGCCAGCTCGGTGCAGTCGTAGCCCTCGGCGCCGCGCCACCATTTGCCAGCCTTATCACCGGAGCCGCGACCGGGAGCGGCAAAGAACCAATACGCGAACGCGGCGTTTCCGGCGCAGCCGACGGCGACCATGGAAGCGAGAATAGGCACAATATTGCGGGCGACGAGCGGGGCATGAGAAAACTCTCGAGGCGCTGCGCGAATGGTCGCCTGTAGGACGGGTATGTCAAGGAGAAGCCAGGCGAGGAAGCCGATGCGCTCAAGAGGTTGCTCGGCGATGCCAATGGCAAAGATTATCTCCCAGGAAATGTTGAGAGCCAAGGCTAGTAGAGGCATGCCATAAGAGTGCGTCCGCCGGCTCCGGATGGCGAGCAGTACGTATGTTGCATCCCAGCAGAGAGCGCCAGCAGCGAGGAGTGCGAAAGATGTCGGCACAACCCACGAGGGGACATGTGCAGGAGAGAGGTCAACTAGACCCATGATTCTTGGGTTAAAACAAACTAGAATGAAGAAAGAAAGTCAAGCGAGGTTTTTGGGGGCGATTTCGCCCCTTTTTGTTGCTGTTCATGCTCACGTTACATTTCCTTGGCGTCAGCTTTATCCTTGTCAGTGAGACAGACCATGAAGGCTGGACAAATATCAACCGAGGCAACGTAGCCAAAGGAATTCGCGCCAATTTTGGCGAATCATTCAATGAACCCTTGTTAGTCAAAACTCTAGACACTTGTAGGACCAGTTACAGCCAATGGCACGCGTCAAATTTCTGGGCTGCATCCTGACTACAAGACGTCAACGCTTTTGAGAACTCTAACTCTGATAGCCTCCCCACCTCGGAACCTGTTCAAATTGCGAGATAGAGTGATCGTGGTAGTCCTGACACTGCTGAAAATATCTTTGCTGTATATGAGTGGGTTAAAAGGAAAGAGAAGGAATCGTCGGTACATCAAGAATGGCAACTCTACTTGCTGCAACGAAGCCAGAGGTGACAGAACCAGGCAAAGGGATCACCCAAGGCACAGATGCCATTTCACTCATATCATATTTGTGTACCAGAGGATACAGTAAGAGTGCCTGTTAGCAAGATGAAGTAGATGCATGTTTGGGGGGGGGGGATGGGCACGCTCTGCTTCAAAACGGTCGTCTGTGTCTATCGCTCAGTGATATCATAGGTCGTGACTGCCTCAAATATTGATTTCCCTAAGTCACCTAAACAGTTCTCCATTACAAAAGAATTGCGATGAAGAACCGAGTGTATTGTAAACTCATGCTGCGCAAGAGGTGTGTATTTCGAACATACCGCTGCAAGAGTCTCACGCTGCCACCCATGTGTTAATGCTGCAATCAGGGTGGTATGATGAACCCCTCCCTCCCTGGAACGGACTTTCGGAGTGGGGGTCACTTTTGGCAGCTCATCTGATCTCGATCGATTAGCAACAGATCCTTTTCTTGCGCTGTCAAGAAACAAATGCCACACCCAAGTTCTGCTGATTGTGTTAGTGTTAGTGCTTAGCTGGCAAGCTTCCTTCGACTCCTTGATGGTTTGGTTGTCATTGCGCCCCTTGATACATGAGAGACGGGAAAGCTGTAGTCTTCAAGTCCAATGTACCATTAATGTTTGGAAACCGATGTGGTTGATATCAATGCTGAATTTAGAGTACAGTGAAGAGGACTTCAACGCGCGGTGCTCAGCAATATAATGTAAGGATGGGGTTGGCATACATATGGATTTCGGCCCTCCGCAGCTTGGAACGTTTTCGTAGCCCTTAGCCCCTGGCTAGCCCCCTGTACCAAGGCTCCATAGCTGATCATTGTCGAACAGAGAGATAAGACACAGGGTTTTAAGTAAGCTTGTGGTTATCATACTCTTGAAGCAAGGGGCGGCATCAGGAATACCTCAAGTGAATGGAATCGACTTGTTCTTTTCTTACGAGGGTCATGACACAAAACGAAGCTTTGTTTGCCATTCCGCCGTATCAAACAGGAGCAACTCTGTAAATATACAGCAGGTCCAATTCTCGAAGCTCACAGCCGACCCTTTTTCAAAGAAAAAACGGGCTAGACATAATCTTGGTCAAATCACTTTGCTCTCAAAGGATAGAGTCTGTGAGCTGAGAGCTGAAGCGTTGAACGGTAGATGACGGCGACCCAAGGCTTCTGGCGACAGCAGCAAAGAGGTTATTGTCCTTCACATCCCCTAGCATGCGAATTTCTCTTTTCAAGCTTCCAAGACAATGGAGTATGATCTTGGGTCCAGAATACTAACTGTCACGCGCTTCTAGCATGCGCAACCTGTGGTCCTATGGCTGGAGTTGATCAAATGGTGTCTTTGACTGATTATTGGCCTGTTAACCCCAATATGTGATTACATAAGCCTCTCTCGATGGTACACAGGTGCTGGGTGGTTGACCCGAGGTGGGCAATTACCTCACAGGTGCCCCGCCATATCCAACACTGCTGCCTCGTGACCCCAAAGCCCAAGCTGCACCTCCTTGCGCATACCCTTTATCCTTGAACAGCTTTCGCGCGCTGGACCTCGATTGATTATCACCGAAATCCCACGAGCAGTCCATTTTCGAGCTTGTCTCCTCCGCCGCCGCTGCCGCGATGAACCGCCTCTTCGGCGGCGCCCCGAAGGGCCCCAAGCCCACACTCAACAGCGCGATCGCCAACCTCGACGAACGCGTCGCCTCCCTTGACGTCAAGCTGGCCTCGGTCAACGCCGAGCTGCAAACCTACCAGAACAAGCTCAGCAAGATGCGCGACGGCCCAGGCAAGGCGGCCATCAAGTCCAAGGCACTCAAGGTCCTCCAGCGGCGCAAGATGATCGAGTCGCAGCGCGACCAGCTGCAGAGCCAGAGCTGGAACATGGAGCAGGCGCAGAGCATGCAGGACAACCTCAAGAACACAATGGCCACCGTTGATGCCATGAAGACGACAAACAAGGAGCTGAAGAAGCAGTACGGCAAGGTCGACATTGACCAGATTGAGAGGCTGCAGGACGAGATGGCCGACCTCATGGACGTGGGCAACGATATCCAGGAGAGTCTAGCGAGAAGCTACGACGTGCCCGAGGACGTCGACGAGGCCGAGCTGGATGCCGAGCTTGAGGCTTTGGGGCTGGAGGCCGAGCTGGAGCCGGAGCTCGGCGCTGGCGCCGTGCCGAGTTTCATGCAGGAGGAGTTGCCGGACTTTGTGGACGAGGAGCCCGCGGCAAAGGAGGCGAACAAGGTCAAGGAGGCAGCAGCTTGAATACCGCGGCGGCGTGGCGACTTGACGAATCATGGAGTTAGGCGTGTGACCTTTGGGATATGGGACATCTCTACGACACGCGGTATCTCAGGGTCCAAGAGACCTCTGTGACCTCCCCCGTGTCTTCGTTTCTTTGTCGGTAACAAAACACATCTATGCATGCATTCACTCGACTCGCCCTCACTCGTGATAGCTCACGATTGCTGGTCCTTTCCTTGTAAAAAGTCTTGTTCTATGACATCCGACATGACTCTCACTTAGCCACACTTAACGAACGCTCGCCACCTCATTCAATCGTCCCGAACATGCGTGATACTTCCTCCAGCTCTGCGTCCCCATTGCAGAAGTCCCATCCAACAATCACACTCGTCTGACTGCAGCAGATGATGCGACGAGCGTCAAACTGCAGCTTGAACACCCGCGCCGGGCTGCCTTCTGTCGCATGAATGTGGGGGTGGTGCGGGGCCTGGGGGTCTGCCGCCTGCTGCGGGTTGTTTGCCGGCGGGGCGGTCGGTTGCGGAAGTACTGGCTGTGTCTGCGGTTGCGTTGGTTGATCCTGGGCAGCCTGTGCATGAGTATGCGCCTGTGGAACTGGAGTGGAGTGATGCTGAACGGGAGCTGAAGGTGGGCCGGGATGTTGCTGGTGAGCTTGGGGCGGTGCTCCATGTCCCTGAATGTGAAGGTGACCCTGTACTTGCTGCGGTGGGGGTGGGTAGCTGAGTTGTGAAGAGGGGGCTCGCCCAGCATTCTGCGCCGTGGCCATTGCGCCCTGAGGTGGTTCAGAGTGCCTCTCCAGGTGTCGCGCAGGGTCAAAAGGACGACTGCTGCTACGGCTTGGCGCTGCGGCTGATGTACTCGCAGTCGAAGAGCCAGCTACTGCCTGGACTGATGTCGACGAAGATGTGCCTGCGAGAGAAGCAAGTGGGGGCAAAGTGGGTGTCATCAGTTGGCCTGTCATGTTCTGGACGGAAGCTAAGCGTGTGCGCGCCTGGGCCTCCTGCGTCTGATGTAGAGCCTGTGCAACGACTTGTCGCATGTTTGTTCGAGTGACTGGTGACGGCTCCCTTGTGATAGCAGCTTGTATGTGCGTGTGGTATACCAACATGGTAGGGTAATTTGCCAGGGCTTGATGCAGCGCCTGAGCCCCTTGCGGCACGACCATGTCGATCATGGCCATATAAGATGACGCGGATTCGGGTGTGATTGTTGCGATAATCGGAGTCTCGACCGTTGTCCTTGAGGGCGTATTCTGACTCTGCGCCGTGCCGGCCTGAGGCGGAGCAGCAGACCCTGGAGTGGAGGCCCTCGGTGGAAAGGGCTGGTGCGAACTGAAGTTGGCAAGTATCGGTGCTGGTGGGTGCGCTGGTGGGGGCACTGCCGCCGGTACGGGTACTGTAGAGGCCGGCGCTGGCACGGGGATAGAGCCGGAGGCTGCCGCCCAGCTTTGTGCAGCTTCAGCGGCCTCTTCTTGACGCAGACGATGAAGCACCACCCATTCCCCTTCTTTCAGACGCCGCCAGATGATGATCTTCTGGTCGTATGAGCCCGAAACGATACGAGCGTATTTGCCGCCGCCGCCCCCGGGGGGCAAGGTGGCTCCGTATGCTGTGATGTCTTCGGGCCGACTGCTGCCTGCGTTACGGGGCCGCGTGCGGTGAGACCCTGGGCCTACAGGCGCCTCAATTGCCCCGGACTCAAGGGCTTTGAAATACTGCTCGTCAATCTTCTTGGCCTCGGCTTTGTCCTCGATCTCACTGTAGGGCAGGTCACCGAACCCCGCCTGCACGGTCCTGACCAGGTGGCTGTGAGCCCGAAGGCTGGCCACTTCTAGGCCGGTCAAACAATCGAAAACCTTGACCTCGTTGTCGCTGCTGCCGCTCACGATTCGGCGCCCATCGTACTGCACACATGCAATGCCCTTGGTGTGACCGACGACGGTTCTGGTGCAGACCTGTTTCGCCCAGTCCCACACTTTGATGTTCCTGTCACCACTTGCGGAGACAACCTCGTTTCCGTGAATTTGCACAGCATTGACAGCTGCACCATGGCCATCGAGACGGCCTATCATGGTGTACGGGGCGATGATGGGTAGGTCGTCAGTAGGATTGCCGTACCTGTTGTCTCGAATGCGAATAGGCACAGGATTCACCCCATTAGGGTATCCCAAATCGCCATACTTGAGCGGCCTCCTGTTGAAGATCTTGATAGACTTGTCCTTGGAGCAGGTTACAAGAATCCTCTTGTCAAACTTGACGTTGAGAACAGACTCAGAGTGCGCCTTAGTCAAACGTTGAATGATCTCGCCAGTCGAGAAGCGCCAGAGGATAACATTGGAGTCACTACTCCCCGAAACAATGAGATCTTCCTCGGGATCGGCATCGAACTGTAAGCACAGAACCGAACCTTCGTGTCCCTTGAGCGGAGCCCGTAGCAAGCGCCGCGTACTCATCTTCCATATGCGAATCGTCCGATCGCGACTGCCGCTGACAAGGTAGTGCGCGTCAAACTGCAGTGTGTAGATGCACTCCTGGTGCCCCTCCTCTGGATGGTCGGGGCGAGGGAGCTGAAAGTTTGTGAACTTCCCCTGCTCCCAGTTGGCCTCCAGTTTCCGTCGCAGCGTGTAGACATGCTTCCAGTTCAACTTGTATCGACTCTGGGAAGGGTCCCATGACCAGAGAGACGGCTTTGAGAGAAAAGAAGGTGGCGTAGGTGTTGTGTCGCGGGATAGATCATCCACCGAATCAACTGCCCTGCCCTTTCCTTTAACATCGCGGGCAGGGCTGTGGCCAACCCCTCCGCTTTTAGAAGATGATCTTGACGCATCCACATCCATGTCGCCGCGGCTGCTTGAAGACAGCGTGGGGACTGATCCGGGGGTGCCAAATATACTGCCACCAGCGCCCGCAAAAGCGCCTTCGGGCCTCGGCAAACGGTCCGCGTCAACCATTTCCTGATCATCGTCCTCTGAGATGCCACGCTTCTTACAGGTGTGGCCGTCTTCAGACACGACCACATGGTGGTGTGAGCTGACGGAAGAGCTCATGCTCTTGGCGTTCTCGTTCATCCTGTCTTCCCAAGCGCGAATCTCAGGATACAGCGCCTGCCAGCCTTCCATGTGGTATAATTTCTCCCAAAGCTTCCGGTCCAGTGCCAGGCTGTACCACTCGCGGCACGATTGGGCAACGCCGAGCAAAGAAACGGGGTCGAGGTATCCGAGGATCTTAAGGCACACCTCGGGCGGGAGGTATTGGATAAAGTTGATGTATAGGCGAGGATGTAGCCGTTCGGCGATCTGGCCACGACAGAGGTCGGCAGGTGGTCGAGCAGAGCCATGGCTAGCTGCGTCTTGGCCGACACGGGCAGGTAGGGGAGGTTCCTCTCGAGCCATGCCGGCAGATCGGAGGGCACGACGAGATCATGGCCCAGGACGGGACGCGTGGGTCTCGTCAGGACGCGTGGATGTGGCACTCGAGCCCAGTTGATGTTGGGTTGAGGGGATCTTCTGAGTAGCCTTCATCCGGGCTGTGAAGGGAACTGCATGGCGTCAAGATCCTCGAAACGCTACCCGCACGTGAAAGCCCAAAGAGGTCTCGTAGTTGGGTGTCCTTGCAACGAGGCCATGCGGCCTTAAAGCTACGGGCAGAGTTGGTTGAGTGTTGAAAGAATAGCGTATGCTCGTAAATTGTAAATCGCAGGAGAGCTTGAACGGACGCGGGGGTATCGACCTGGCTATAGGCTCGAACAGGCGTGCGAGGGGCGGCTTGGGACACGTTGACAGTCAGTTGGCTTGTTGCAAATGGTTTGTCGGAAAGGAGGATTGAGTAGGCTCGGGAGGATGACTGAAGCTTCGTACTATGGCACAGGATGTTGTTGAGGATGAGTCGTGCGGTGTAGGAGTGGACGTGGTAGTACTGTATTGTGTTCAGCTTGCCTCATCGACCAGTCAGCCTGCCCTGCTTGTCGCCGTCTCTGCTGACAGTTGCTGGTAGGTCGGTACTTTGTAGCCTGACTAGCAACCCACACCCGACCCGTCGTCTTGCCTGGCACAGACCAGGCCTACGGGACGCGCTTCAGCCGGCAGATGACTCCAATCGTGGGCCATGATGGCACCTCGGGAGTGGGGACGGTGATACGGTCTTCCACAAGAGCATAATCCTCACCGAAGCCTGAAAAGACAGCCCTGTAAGGTGAAATGTTACAGATCCGTCCATAACATTGTGCCGTACGGATAGCCTTAGCCTTTCTTCAAGCACCATGCTACCATGTCCATCCCACTGTTGGCTCCGGCGATGGGAAGATCGTTCCTCGTTGTTCTGACATGAGCAGTCTGAAACCACCTTCACCCTCGCAGCCTAGATATCTTTGCATGTAGAATGGACGAGCGAGCCTGGGCTGCGACACCCCAAGCAGTGCACTCCGGGCGAGGCCATCCAAGGTACCGCCTTGGGTACCTAGGTAGGTACCTAGGTAAGGTGAGGCAAGCAGGGCAGGAAGGTAATCGAGGAAAAGCCCCGAAATGGGTTCCCACCCTGCCGAATTGTACCCCAGATCGGCGTCTGCACAGAAGTGCATGGTGGCTTGCCAGTGCTTGAATTAGCACGCTCAAGTCTCGAGGCAGCACCCCTGATGATGAAGATTGATATGGACATCTACGCTTCCAATGAAGTCTCCTGGCTGATGCTGAAGAAGTGAAGAATAGTACCTCGTCAGGACGATCGCTCTGGATAAAGCATCCTGCGTCTTTGGTGGCACCTGTGGGGGCAAGCAAGACACTTCCACGCCTCCTCGCCCGGCTCAGCTCTCGGATTGCGGCATGGCCAATTTTCTGGCGGTTGCACCAAGTACATCACACAGCCACGCTGCCAGCCCTGATGAACCAATATGTCAAGCCCAGAAGCGATGTCGTACTATCCTGAAGATTGCAGTCATCATTCGGCGACACGGTATCGCCTTTGATCAAAAGAAAGGTTGCCACCACTGAGGCATGAGAATAATGCGTGATTAGGGATTAGCTTCTTCAGCTGATGTTACAGCGTCAAGCCCCCTCCCCCGGGAAAACCAAAACCCTCGCTCGTCATACTTGTCCAGCTTCGCGTCTTCTATTTCGAAAGTTTGAAGGAGGACATGGATGAATGGATGGCGCTCGTTTGGGGTCGAAGCGCGACGGGCTCAAGGGGTGGGCACTGGTTGGTCAGGGTCCGCATGACCATGGCGATTTACAAGTTAGCTACGAGGGAGGGGTCAGCTTTGTCAGGGCCCATGTCGGTTCCCCGATGCCCAGAGGTTCAAGCATCGAAGGCGACCGAGAAGCTTCCGCGCGCACGGCCGTCCAGAGAGGGCTCTATTCGGCTTCGCCTGTTGATTACGACGTCGTAACGGACAGTTGCCCGAGATGGCATTCGCGAGTCAGTGGGGGTCAAACGGCGGCAGTGTGATTTAGTCCATGTGTGCATGTCGATCTATTGTGTCTATCAGATCAGCTTGGCTTGAGGCTGACTACGAGCAAGCCTGTGATGTCGAGAAGGGACAGGCACTAAAAGGGGCAGGCAGAAAGAAGGGCCATAGAGAGGGATCTGCATTCGCGGTAATTGCGCACATGGCTTGAAGAGGACGATGGCAAGCATCTCGATCCGTGCTGGCACCCTTGCCAGCGGCTTCTACCCGTGAAGAGGGGTATCAGACGGGCAGTCTAACCGTAGTAGAAGAGGGTGCGGTCTAGATTTCTTCGGAGAGCATGGCTCTTGGGGATGATGAATTCAAGCAGCCATTTCGGTATGGTCAGAATCGACGACAGGCCCGTCAAGGGCACGAAATATTTGACGCAGCCTTGAGGTTCTGAGGTCTACAGAACGCCATTCGGCCCGCTAAAGTGATATGGTGGTAGTTGGGTTGTTGCGCCAGGGGGCATCACCACAGGCTAGTGCGCAGTGCGTTGTGCAGCGCGGCAGCTTCCAAGCCTTCGGTGCATCTTCTCGAATCCGCACCACCTCCGTCCATGCCGCCATCACCATCCAGCCCTCATTTCAAGCTCCAAGCAGAAAGAAACCCTGGATATGGTGTTTGAGGATGGTTCGGGTTCCACCACAGGTCATCCGTCAGTCAATAAGATGCCGGCCTAGTTTGGCTGTCTTAACTGTTTCGAGTTTGGCGCGTTCCCTCACTAATTTGAAACAGTAGACGAATGGAACGGTCTTTAGAGAACAGTGGGCGGCGGGCGGACGCTCCCCCCTAGCAGCAGCATCAGCAGGGCCGCTTCCCCTCCCCTCCCCTAGGCAGCGGCTGCCCCTCTACTTGGTCTTGAAGCCCAAGCCCAGGTAGAGGGCCCTGGTCCATGACCCATCAGTGCCCAGCGCGGACCCCCTCCAGTGGGCCCGGGACAGGTGGAAGGCACCTCACCCAGGAGCGTGTGGGTGGGTGTGGCGGCCGGCGGCACTCTCCATCAATGCGTGATGCTCCATGCGAGAGCTAGTCTGTGGAGATAGGTACCTCTACCTGGGCATCTACCGCGTCTTGCCCTTTGACATCTGGAGCTCCTTGGTCACACTTCCCTTTCCATTCCAATGCTCAGCCAGATGGACCTGCCAACAACGTGACCTGTTGACGGCCATCTTGAGCGCTCAATGCTTAAACAAACACAAAAACAAGAATCTTCACGAACATCGGCAGAGAGCTTGATAACGAACGGTTCACGGTCTTGTGCCTTGGGGGCTGTATACTACCTAAACGAGAAGCGTATCGCACCTAGGTAGGTATCTGCGCAACGTCGATCCGACCGGCCCTTCCCAGCTCCATCCACTCGAAAGCGTGAGTCGCCAGCGCCAATACTTCAGTGGACTCCCTAGGTCGGCACCGCCAACCTCCTTCTCCATCAGAGGGTCCCCCCCCCCTTACCCCCTCCTCCTAGTAATCCGATTCACGCACCCAGCCCCGAAACCCGGCCGCCAGCCTGTGGCTTCTTTCATTCCCATCTCGACTCACCACTCCTGCACTTTGGTCAACACCGCCAATCAATCCTCGACCAGAGCCCCAGCCCAGCCATCGTCGCTGCTGCTGCACATCTCCTTAGGACCAAAATACGCACTGGTTTGCCGTCTTCGTCCAACAAGACACGACGCCCTCGACGCCTGCCGACCAACGGGCGAAGCCACAAACAAGAAAGCATAGCGGGACTTGCAGGTGGGAACCGAGAGGGGCTTCGAAAACCCGAATCCGACCAACGTGAGACTCTAGCCAGAGTCAAAGGGTCTGAAGTCAACCCACCTTCTCTCCCGTTTCAACGAAACATCCTCACCCTGTTTCCTCGCCCTAATTCGAGTCGAACTACTCTGCCGATTCCAGGAAGAGAGGGAGAGAGAACGAGACTACACGCTGCTGCAGCCGCGAGCCTGAGCAAGCGCTGGATGACCGACACCGCTAGATCGCTCACCCCTCTTCCGTGAACGTGCTCGCAACAAAGCCACCTCGCAACCGCCCACCCGACTGCATCGTATGCCGATTAAACCGCGACCTCGTTTCGACCGACTGATCCACTGATCCACTGGTTGAGCAATCTCGAACCGCCACCTCCCTCCGACCGCGTCTGCGAGCTTGCGACCGCCGGCGAATGGATTAGGTCGACATGGCACATGCTCCCCTCCTACGAACCAACACGGCACCGGTATTCTCACAGTCTTCGAACGGTGTCGGAGGCATCAGTACCATGAGCCATGCGCCGCGCGCCAGCCAACTGTCTGGCTCAACGGCGTACAACAGCTCCTCCGTCTCGCTAGCCTCGTTGTCATCCGCTGCTACTGCTGCGACGACCGCCACCGCGACACCCCAGAACGGTGGGCCCGTCATAGCCACAGCCAACATCATCAACCAGAAGGCTGATGCCTCTCGCTCGCTCTACCACCTGTGTATGGCGCTCAAAGTGAGACTCGCCCAGGTTCCCGACTTTGGTCCCTACCTCCAGCAACTCGATCCGTACGACCCAGTCGAGTCTCTTTGGGGTCTATTTCGCACCGGTTTCCCTCTCCTCGAGATCTATAATGCGTTGCAACCGCCTGTGCCCCTCAAAATCGACGACTCGGCCCCCAAGACCACGACTGCAGACAAGAAAGCTAAGATTGCCGTTTTCAAGTTCATCCAGGCTTGCCTGAAGGATCTCGGTATTCCTTCTGCTGACTGTTTCGTCATAAACGATGTCCTGGGCAACGATACAACGGGTTTCGTCAAGGTATGCTATAGAGACCGGCTGTCTCGATTCTTTTTTTCATGGTTTAACACGAAGGTGCAGGTCACACAGGTGGTCATTATGTGCTCGATCTCGGCGCAGGAGCGTGGCCTGCTTCTGGCAGGTCACGCCGGACCCCGAAGATGAAGCCGCTCCCGAACCAGGCTCAAAACTGAGCTACCGCGATTACATTGTTAAGGAGCTGGTTGATACCGAGCGGAAATATGTGCAGGATCTCGAGAATCTGCACGATCTGAAGAGCAGCCTCGAGACCAAGGGCATCATCACCGGCGACACCATCCACCAGATTTTCCTGAATATCAACGCCATCCTGGACTTCCAGCGAAGGTTCCTCATTCGCGTTGAGACGACCAATTCTATGCCGCAGAGCTCCCAGCATTGGGGAGCTCCTTTCGTTGTTTACGAGGAAGCTTTCGATATTTACCGCCCTTTTATCGCCAACCAGCGGAAGGCCGCGCAAGTAGCAAACCAGGTTTTCGAGCAGATCAAGACGGCTGCGCATCCGGTGGCAGTCGACTTCAACACACTGGACGGTTTCCTGCTGAAACCAATGCAGCGTCTCGTGAAATACCCTCTTCTGCTCAAGGTAATTTTGGCCTGCTTGTAAATGTTCTTTGGATTGGTCATTGACGCTATGCAGGATCTGAAGAAGAAGACGGAAGACGAGACTGCCCAGAGCGAACTAGCCGCCGGCATAGAGGCTGCGGAGCGAGTCCTCACTAAGGCAAATGAAGAAGTAAATCGCGATCTTCTAGATGAGGCGCTCGAGGAGCTCCGTGTCCGCGTAGATGACTGGAAGAGCCACAAGATTGAGCAGTTTGGTAAGCTGCTAAGGCACGGCGTCTACACCGTCGTGACCGGAAAGACAGATCAAGAAAAAGAGGTAAGCTATCTCCCCGCAGGAGCCAACCGTGTCGTATGTCGCTAACATGCCAAACGTATGAAATTTATCTCTTCGAATGCATACTTCTTTGCTGCAAGGAGATCTCTCCGAACAAGAGCAAGGACAAAAAGGACAAGACACGGTCCACTGGCCCAAGGATTCGCAACAAAAACGCGAAGCTCCAGCTGAAGGGCAGAATCTTCATGACGAACGTCACGGACGTCGTCTCTCTCTCCAAACCAGGTCAGTCCTCAACGGCTCCTGGCTTTCTGGCCAACGCACTGACAAACATGCAGGTTCTTATAGTGTCCAAATTTGGTGGAAGGGCGATCCTGGCGTCGAGAATTTCATGATCAAGTTTAACAACGAGGAGATGCTGAAAAAGTGGGCTCTCGGCTTGGAGACGCAACGCAAGGTATGGTCTCAAAAGACCGCAGGCAGCCCGGATCAAGCAGCGCCCGAATTTGCTTGGACCCAAGCTCACGGGAGCAAACTTGAGAATCCATACCTCAACCAGGGCGATGACGAGGATGATGAGGACTTGGGCCCAACGTCAGCACCACCCCAATTCCCAATGTCGCAACAAACATCCGGGAATGGACCGCGCCTCCCTCGCAACGCATCAAGCACCAGCCTGCGCCAACGATCTGCGACAAACGACAGCACAGGCTCGTTGGCCGGCATGGTCCCGCCGCTCCCCCACGCTTCCCGTTACCTCAGCCCCCGGGACCGTTGAGTGTCCAAACTCAGCTCCTCCCGGGCCAGTCCTCGCCCGGTTTCCGCGGCGGCGACTCGTACTTTTCACCCATTGCCGAATCGCCCGCCTCGTCCAGGGCAAGCACTGCCAGTTCCATGATGCCGCCCTCAGCTTATCCGTTCCCAAAAACGTCGACGCCCCAGCCTGGTTGGGGAGAAGAGCAGAACCGGTACACAGCACCGGCCATGCCGCGGTGCCCCTTCTAGGGATGGTCCTTCGCCGAACCCTTATGGGAATGGAAGGAACCCTCGAGGGCCCTCACTGCCGGCCATGGCCTCGAACAACCAGAGCGCAGCCCAACAACAACGAAGTCGCTCGTACAGCACACCGGATATCAATGGGCCCAACGGTGTGCCAAGCGCACGCCGCAACCCCTCAGTGCCATCGATCCCAGCAGTACCGGGCATTCCGTCTCATCTGCACCCAGCTCATGACGGCAATCTTCCCCGCTCTCAGACCGGGTCTCCCCGACAGCAGAATGAGCTTCCCATGAGGTCAAACACGCAGAGCCCGGGTACCCAGCGTGAGCGGCAGTACGGCCATCAATCATCGGGTAGCTATGGTGGCACCATGTCTCACTTTCCTGCTCAGCCGATCTACCCCCGACACGGAACTCCTACTCAGGGCTTCCACAACGAGCGGAACCTCAGCATCGACGCAACCGCAGCGGGTCGGTCTATTTCGCCTGGCTTGGGTACCGCCTCTGGGATCCAGACCAATCCTCTAGCCAGCCCGGACCTGCCAATCCCCACTCAATTAAAGGTCAAGGTAAACTGTGTTGACAGCGGGAACTATGTCACACTAGTGGTTGCATTCAACATCACGTACCAGTCACTCATTGACCGCATCGACGCTAAGCTCGCTCGCTTCACCAGCAGCAGCATCAGCAAAGGCTCGTTAAAGCTGCGATATCGTGATGAGGATGGTGACTTCGTCACCATTGAGAGTGACGACGACATTCAAATCGCATTCCTTGAATGGCGCGAGGGCGTGCGAAACATGTACGCTGGTGGCGTTGGCGAGATTGAGCTCTTTTGCGTAGGAGACACGGGTGGCGGAGGCAACAACGTTTGAACAGGTTTTGGAGTGAATGAGGGGTTTCCCTCACCTCGCGTTTCATCTTCTGGGCTTGACGGATCATCGTAGCATACACCCGATCGAGTCCCTTTCATTTCGCATTCTTGGAGTCTGGAGTCGGGATTCCGGCCGCATTCTGACGGATTACTTCTGAGCCGCCCGCGGCTTTTGATATTTTTCTCTTTCATCATGGATAAGGAAGCGGGGGATGGAGGGTGTGAGCCGCACTTGTGGCGAGGTCCATTGTTATAGGGCATTTGAGGCTTTTCGCGAATCTAGACGGATTGGGTCAGCATACCCATTTTTGGACCATTATGGCATTCGGTTTAACACTCGCTTCGGACACGGGGGCATTGGATCATGAATTTATTGCTGACGAGTCTTCCTCCACATCGAATCCTCTGTGATGCTGCGAACTGCAGACCCATGTGAACATCCGGCAGGCTTACCAGTTGCTGGTTGGAATATCAGTAAAAGGCTGCGTTTAGCTACTACCAATTTGGGACACTTTAAGCGTGCATCTGCCACTTGCGGGGTTTTTGAGCAGCGCGGGAAAAGCCTGTTTGAAATGTCGAATCATGTTGCTACAAATGGTATGTTTTGGTACATGGTGATACAGCCCATTCTTCTATGCCAAGAACGCCGCATTTGCCCCTTAGGGGCAAGAAAATGTACAACTCCTTGAAGGATGTCGCCCCTCGAGAGTCCAATGTTCAGAAGGGAGTTGGACCGGTCGCTATTCTCGACAGGCTGACAGTCGTCTGGTACCATGGGCCAAGAGCCCAAGCAGCTTCGAGTTTGTTGTACGCCTGGAACGAGGACGAAACCATTCGCTAAGCCCAATCCCTCGGTTGTTCGTCTCAACGGCGGCCGCTCCCGCTACCGACAGTCCGACTCGAGACCTGCCTCGCCTCTCCGGGCCCTGTTTTCGTCACTGGTCCCGCCATGCAGCGTCTACCTCTTTCGCCTGCCGCTGATGATGACGCGGTCGTACATGCGGGCCAGGTGGAAGTTGATCGTGTTGCGCGGGGCGTCTTGCGGCGGAGGCGAGTCCATGCATGTGCGGAGGGCGTTCTCGAGGGCGGCGCAGCCGGATGTGTTGAAGCCTGCGGAGGCCCAGCAGGCTAGACGAACGGGACGAGGAAGGTTAGCCTGCTATGAAGAATCTCTCGGGCGGTCGAAGAAGGGAACATTGGGTTTTTCTTCAATCTTCTTTTGGAGGGGAGGAGGGGGAATCAGCTGACGTACCGAGCAGTGAGGACATCATGGAAACGCAGGGCGACTCGGTCTTCTTGTTCAATGGGGCGCGGACGCGGAGGCCCTTCAGGGGGGGCAGGCGCATGGGTTTTTGAGGCATCGTGGCTGGTTTGTGTGCAGATTGCAGATGTGTCCCTTATGGTATTCGGAACGCAAGCAGTGGCTTTGACCTTCTGAGTGTCGATGTATGGCGTCGGTGGCGTGAGCTGGTCGTCGTCAAGGCTTCTTCTATCGTGACCATCCTAAAGCTCAATTGTCAAGAGGTCCATGCCGTCGCGATGCTCAAAAATTCGAGGTCACGTGCCAGCGCCAAACGTGAGGGAGCACGCGCCATTCAGCGGTACGTACCGCCCCCAGCAACCGGGCCCCATGAGGGTGGGGTTCGTCTTAGGTGAAGCGAAACAGGCGGCGCGTCTCATTGGCCGCATGGGGCAAAGTAAACAAAAGAATTCCAGGTTACACTCCTGGGTTATTCGCGACTTGGGTCTTTCCTCATACAACTTACAGACGAGGTTCAAGGTTGAACGAGTCGCATTGCGCTCAGTCAGTGACTTCAACCCTTACCTTCTCACCCACCCACATTCAAAGCTTTCCCGGAGAACAATTGCCGACAAATACGCGACCCGCGCCTCTGTTCAGCATGCGCGACCCCATCGAGATGAAGGGTTTCCGCCCAGCGACAACTTCGCCCACCAGTGTCTTGTCGCGCTCTGACGCCTTTGACTCCCAGTCTCCAGCAAAGGCCTTGTTCGAAAACCTATCAAAGATGACGACTCGGTTTGGAGAATCAAACGATGAAAACCATCCCATGGGTCGCGATGAGGACGCCGCCAGCAAGGCGCGCGGCCTTGGCGCCAATGTCACTCTTCTCCGTCCGGAGCTCGTCCAGCCATTCAACACCGAAAAGTTTCAAGGAACGGAATTTTGCTTCGCTCCGGTCCTGCAATATCCATTTCAAAAGAAGCCACGAACCATCCGAAAGCCGGCGGTCCGGGCGGCAGCCCGCGAGACGCTGAGACGGAGGCAAGAAGCGGTGAAGTTGAGGGAGGAAAGTCACGACACGACCGAACTGCAAAATGCATTCGAGGAGTACCAGAAGACGGCGTGCCTGCCATCGGAGCAGTCGCCGCGAAAGAAGCTCATGAGTCAGGCGCCGGACGCGCAAGAGTCGGTGGATGGCGAGTTTGATGAAGAATGGGAAGTCGCCCAGCACATGGCGATTTCGGGATAAGCTGGGCAAAGGGTTTGTGGGCCCAAGACTTGATATGGCTGAACCTAGCTGACCTCCTCCAAGCCGATATTCGAAACCACTTGCTGAACACCAGCGCCCCAGAAGCCCGACGAAAGCCTTCCAACACCGAATTTGGTCCTGCCCCAGTGGTGAAGCGACGAGCAGACGGCTCGGCGCGGGCCAACTGGATCCGACAGAAACAGGTTGATCCGGACGTCAGATATCTCCTCAAGTTTCCAGGCGGTGAGATGGCCGCTCAGAAGGCGTACAGCCTGCTTGGACGGAAAGATATGCTGCCGTTCGAAACCCTTGAGGAAGCTTCGAACGACAGCATTGTCATGCCAGAAGATCCTCCTTCGACCGCGACCCACACCTCGGAAGAGAACCGCTTGGCCAGATTGGAAGCCGCGAAGGCGCAGTTGCCTGAAGCCGCAGGGCTTCAGAAGAATGGTCACACCAGTGACGAAGATGAAGTCCGCGATGAAGAGCACGTCTCGGATGACGTAACCCTACCACCTTGTGAAGCAACAGGCGACGGGCAAACTGACGACAAGTCCGTGCAAGATCATGGTGCCGTAGCTAATACTGGAATGCTGGGCATTGAGGATGCACACCGAGTCCGCACCCTCGAGGCCCCTTCCTCCTTCTTGGACACCAGTATGCTCAGCTCCGCTGGCCACGACTCTCCAGCGCAGCCAAGCACGCCTCAGGCTCTGGCACTACCTGAGCAGCCAGTTCTCGATATTGACTTGAACAAGAATCCCGACATTTTCGCCTCGGCCCTGTTGCAGAACCGAACCTCCACGCTGTCGTCATCCGCCGTGTCGCACCTCAGCTTCACCACGCCGCAGCCATCGTCTCCGCCTCCAAGTATGAAATCGCAGCTACGCGGGATAGATAACGATAGTCGTTGGTCCCCACTGGCGCACTCCCCCACACCACTATCGCCCACTCCCTTCATCACTGCTGGTGATTCGGATCAGCTTGCCCACGACATTGGGTTGGAAAAGAATGAAGCAACACGCAAATCCCACAGAAACTCCTCCCCTATCGAAGCTCTTGCAAGCCTTATCAATCCTATCCAAGACATGGCCGATACTCGTGTTGTTCTCGGTCAAAATGAAGGCCGATTTTTTATCCGGTTTAAGCTGCCAGATGAACATGCCGAAACCTTCTTGGAGCAAGTCGACCATGTTCAAGTTGATACATACATGAAACAAGAGGACGAGGCTGTCGAATGGGAAACAGAACCCGCTGTTACTGTCCAGGAGCTTGAGGAGAAGGCTACCGGCGAAGTTGTGAAGGTCGTGTCCGAAGATGATCCTCGTGATCTTCTCAGACAGTTCGTTACGAAGCATCAGGCTGGTAAGGCCAGACCCTCGGCTGCCATCTTCTCTGCCGATACCGAATCGCCCGCCGCCGAACGCGTTATGGGTAAGCCCGACGCGGTTGTACCAACCGCGTCGATTCTGGTAGCCGAGAGTCCCCGAACGCCAGAGTCAGGGTTCAACCGTGCTTCGATGCGTATTGAAACGCCTACTTTAAACATGGGATCCGACCAGCCTGCTCTTGAGACTCCTACCAGGAACAGTTCGGTTAAGAAGTCCAAGCGAACGCCCCTTGGCAAGCTGGACGCTAATAGCCCCAGTCCTGTCAAGCCAAGGCTGGCAAAAAGGAAGATGGACGAGGACGGCGACGACGATGAGCAAAAGATCTGGAGAAGACGCTAGAGCCGTCCCCGAAGCGCAGGCGCGGCCTTCGTTCGAGGAAGCCAGCTACCCCAGGACCTGACGCAGCTCCCGTCAACTCGCGTCTGGTCCCGGAACGCTGAGAAAGACCTTGCTTCAGTGACGCGAGCTAATACCCGCGCCAACAAAGAGCGGTGCTCTCTATCCGGCCGACGTCCTTTGCCCAGTTTGCCGAGGACCCCCTGGGTCAACAGTGGAAGGAGAGGAAAGCGGTAGTAGACGCACGAGCGTCCCGAGCGGTCAAGGTTGGCGCTAAGAGCGTTCACTGGCCGGCAGCTCTGGCTTCATACCAAACCTTCACGTCTGACGATGGCGTGGATGTTGCTGCCACTTCAGCTGCTGCGCCTGTTCCCGCCCCGGAGCCCGAGCCAGAGTCCCAGGAGCTCACAGAGAGACAGTCGAAGAAGAATCGAGCCGTTAAATCCAAGTTGCCGGCGCCCGTTGGTCGTCCGCGTCGCGTTGCCGCTCCAGTCGCGCCAGCAACCCCCAGACCTGCCACACCCAGAGCTCCCTCCGCCAAGAGACCTACTGCCAATGCACCGGAGGCGGACGAGGACGCGATCGTCGGTAAGAGGCCAACGAGAGCTGCAGCCCAAAAGACCAACATCAGGATGGGCCTCACAGCAACCGGTACGCCTGTACGCCGCCGTCCTACGCGATCGACGAGCACGTAGGCAAGTAGGATGGAAACTGGAGGGTGTAGGAGTGAGAGGGCGACCTTATTTTTGTTTTGCTTTAGATTTTGCGTTGAGACTACGATACCCAGGCCATGGCGACGGCGTTTGTTTTCTGTTCTCTAAATTCTTTCACTGGAAAATGCCCCCGAGATATAGGGTTTGAGTTGATCAGCTTAGACACCCAGTTTTGCTTGCGGACCTGAGTCTGGCTGATCACAGTAGGTGATCCAGGCCTGCAATTTCAGAGAATTGACATTGATCTTGTTTCACGCTGCTTGCTCAGATGACCGGCCTGTTGCGTGTTAGCTAGGTATTTACGTTATCGAGAAGAGACTCAGCATTGCGTGATGTTGCAATGAGCTGGCCGGAAAAGTATGAAATATGACATCGAATATGTGTAATCCAATGCCATAGAGACTTGGGTCTGGAGGTCATCGGACATCATACCACTCTTTTCCTTGTACTCTCAGTCCGCTTTATGAAATCCATGTAGTGGCTTCGGCGGTCCAGTGATCCGAGCAGGGCAAGGACCGTGGCGTAGCAGAGTCTTTCTGTGTTGATGACGTGCGAGAGGGCGTAGGGGCTCCTCAGTGAGTCCTCGAAGTTGAAACCATGAAAGTCGCTCTACCTGTGATGCGCTGGGGATCGTCTTCCCATACCTTAACCCTTGTACACAATGTGAGCCATGGGGGAATGGCGGCGGGTATGCCTACAAGATCATCCAACCCGGCATCCTCAAGATCAAACCCAATTTCATAAAGTATAGTCCCGGGACATGAAGCTTAATGCAAAGAATTCCTCATGATCTAAAAACTCAATGACTTGTAGAGTTATAATGCGAACTATAATGCGAACTCTATTAAGGAAAATTTCAAATGATACTACAACAACAAGACTCCGGAGAACTACCAGCCCACAACTGACCACAGCTAATACTATTTGATTGTGACTTTAGGGGTTCCGAGATCCAGCCGCTGCTGCACCCTTCAACTGTTAACGTATTGCAATGGTCGTAGTCATGTGTGACCATGGGATCCAACTCTCCATAACCCGCTGTGACAGCACTTGACTATGAAAAATGCGGAATGCTCATTATAAAGAACTATAGGTGTTCGAGACATAATAAAAAGGTTACTTGATTGAGTCTTGCTTCATGCATATATCGTGTCTTCTATCGTAGGTTCCTCCTAGGACTACCTCTCCAGGCGTCAAAGCCTGTGCATCTCGTCAGACTTCCCATCGAACTTCTCGTCGAGAAGCTGGCTATCTTCTACCCTACATATGTATTCTTCGGAACCTAGCTTCACGGGTTGCCATCCATTTACCAGATCTATTACGCTCATTTTCTGGCATTGGTATGACTCCTCAAACCCTCTAGCAGTCGAAATCTGTGTCCACGTTTTGGACAACACTATTCAAGTTGATAGACTATGCAGCGCATTCCGGGATGACGAATCCGCTTATATTATTGAAACAAACAAAGCGTGATATTAGCAGCACCGGCACTGCACCTGCCAAAGCCAAGCCATGATGTTACTACATACTAATTAGTCCGCGGCTCACTAGACAAAGTAGAACTCTTACGAATTGGCCCCCAGTTCCTAGTCAAGACCAGATAGTCTACCCCAGCATCTACAGCGAACGAAGGTAATGAGGAGGAACCATTGCAAGACGAGACACTGGTACCACAGGGGTAAGATATCATGGCAGTGGATATGACGGCGGCTAGTAGCACTTACACAGTCTGTTCCGTCACCAGCGTAGATAAAACCTTGCTCGGCGAGGCGGCAACCATCATTTCGCAGTAAGATCACGATCAAAGGGGGCGGTCGAACATTCGGGGGACAGCCCATCATTAACCGTAGGCCATACCGTAGATGGACGAGACATAACAGGGGAAGGACTAAACAAGGTTTGAATCAAAATGGTTTCGCAACAAGACTCCCATCAGGGGAAACATTGGATACTTGACTTGATATCATATGAGGCTCTCAAATTCAGCAATAGAAGCGTCTTGATTCATACATGCGTTTTTGAGCCTCGTCTATTGCTTTTTGATTCTCGCCGCGGTGTCCAGGGAGGAAAAACCTGTTCGTGATTCCAATAAATGATTGGTATTTCTTGTTCTAAGCAGCATGAATTTGCATTACCACATCCTTACAGAGGCCGAGCCTGTTCATACCTTCGAATCCAAACCCAAGACCCAAATATTCCCTCTTCTGTGGTCTCAGGGCTGACTGCTGTGGAACTTCTGCTATCATGTCCAAAGGCGAAGACATTTATTGCAACAGAACACCGGAACGATGCAGGCCCAGGCGTCAGATAACATCAACTCGTATAGGGGTCAGTCATCACGTATAAAGTTGAGGCTTGCTTCGGTCACATTGCATGCCACTTGTCAGATCTTGAGTGGAATATCATGGCTTTGCAAGCCACAGTATGATACTTGATCCCGCCTCGTCTCTTTCAGAGCTAATGTCCTGAACGAAAACCTCGTGATAAATCGGAAAGTCCAACACAAGCTGACTTGAACAGCGTCCGTGTTGAACAGGTACTGGGCAAGAGCTTTACTCTTTGTTGTCTCGTCTATAAGTCTGTTCAAGACGATGGTTCTGAACGCTCTCTACCTTTTGCCGTTGCGTCCCAAGTTATTTGGTTAACTCAAGACATACCTGGGAAACAGCTACAGTGGAAACAATGCAACTGCTGTAAAAGTTTCTTGGTCTGGACAGGAGGCACAGAGTGCCACTCCTGTCGGGCTTGGGTGCTTATCTCCGGCGATCCGGCTCCCGCGCAAGAGACCACCAGAGGTGCTCAATGAGAGCCGAATGCCCTGATTTACCCCTTATCCTTATTGTCGCGATGACGACCCTGCCCACGACGTGCCAAGACATGCAACATGAAGCTTGCAACTGACCATCTTTCATCATCTAGCTTGTCCTGCCGAACCCTTCGCATGGAACCGAGCCCAACACTAGCCTTCATACCCCTACTAGGTCCAACCGAATGTTCACCATGGGCATGGTTCGACAAAGTCTGGGACCACGAATGACGCAAACAGGGTCACTCGTCACTATCGAACCGCTTTGCGTTCCGATATCAGCGATGGGTCACAATAGCTCAGGTTACACTTCACGTCGGCAGCATTGCTATCATAACCCCCTGTCTCTGCCAAACTTCCTATGCCTGTTCAGGACCTCACGCCTGTAACACGATGAAGCGCTCCCCTGCCAGTGCGCCGACCTGCTGACGTGCTTCTCCATTCACTCATTAAACCTCGTCCGCATGCAGCCCTGAGCCGGCATACTTCGAGCTGTTTGACCCGGGACTCTATCACGCACGCTGGGGACAATGTTGTTCTACTGTACATGACACCCCCCCGGCACCAGCCCGACCCCTGCGGCACGAACCCCCGGTGCCCTGAGCCCGCGCACCGGTATCGATGGATGCGTCGAGGGGAATGCCGTGACCTTCGCTTCCACCCGCAAGCCGCCTGGTTGTCGGTATTCGTGATACCAACAAGTGCAGTCGCTTACTCGCTGACCATGTGGGGGAGCATGCGAGGATTCCAGTGGTGGCGTCGAAGAGCTTCACGATGCAGCCAGCCACGTCGTACCATTCCTCACAAGGACGAACTCTGACCAACATGACACATTCCGGGTCTGTCCGCATAGCCAATTACCACAACGTCGAAGCGAAGTGTGAAGGGCCTCGGTCGGTGTGAGGCGCAACGTCGATCGCGTTTTCAACTCGACATCGCCAGGCCACTGGGGGGAAAATTGGACAGCAATAAGCCACCTCCTAGGTAGATACCTAGGTGAACCTACTTTCATGGCCTTCCTTCAGAGACACGGCTGAAGCGTACGCATACGCTTGGCCGCCCCCTAAGCGGCCACACGCTTGATGAATTTTTTTGGGGCTCCCCCCAGCATTGCTTGTGTCAGAGAAAGCAGAGTCAGAAATACCGTTGGGCGAAACCCTCCACAGCCCAATTGCCAAGCCATGTAACGCCCATGTAGAAAATACCCGCCAACTCCGCCAGGTACCGAAACCGATGCGATCGCAACATCTAGAGCCCCTCGTTAGCACGAGCCATAGCACGAGCCACCAGGAGCCCGCGTGAAATCACGGACGACACCATGCGTAGCGGACGGCGTCTACCGACCCGTCGGGCCATTGTATGTACATGTAGGGTCAACAGCAAACACACAGAGCCATGGCGCGCGATTGAATGCGCACCCCCCTCCCATTTCTCTCCCGATCGCCGGGTTTCCCTCTCCCCCCTCCGCCTGATCTCACAAGGCC